CATTGTTGCAGAGGCCTTAACTTATTAATGAAAAGAGCTAAAGAAGTGGATTTGATTAGAGGAGCTTCAATTGGACCAAATGATCTGAGATTATCTCACCTTCCGTTTGCAGATGATACTATCATATTTTGTGAAGCAGATTGGTAGGAAATTATTGCTATTAAGAGAATTCTAAGATGCTTTGAGGTGATGCCGGGACTTAAAATTAATTTTCACAAAAGTCAGGTGAGTGGGTTAGGTGTTTAGGTTGATTTAGTGAAAGAATTTGCAAATAGGCTCAATTGCCATAGCCAAAAGCTGCCTTGAAGTATCTGGGTATGCCTTTAGGAGCAAATCCAAGGAGAAAGAGCACCTGGCAGCCAGTGGTAGATAAATTGAAGAAAAAGCTAGCTTTATAGAAGAGAAGGTGCTTGTCTTTTGCAGGAAGATTAACCTTGATAAGATCAGTGATGTCTAGTTTACTAGTCTATTTCTTATCTTTGTTTAAAATGCCAGTGGGTATTGTAAGATCACTTGATAAAATTCAGTCTGGTTTTCTCTGGGCAGGATCTAAATTGAGGAGAAAATTTCATCTAGTTAGTTGAAAGTAGGTATGCTTGAACAAGATTCAAGGAGGGTTAGGGGTTAGGAATCTAAGGGAGGTAAATGATTGCCTACTTATAAAGTGGTAGTGGAGGTATGGTAGGGAGGAGAATGCTTTGTGGAAACAAGTGTTTTGCAGCAAATATGGCGGGTTTGGTGGCAGATGGAGTTCGTTACCAGTGGTTTCAAGTATGATGTCTATTCTGTGGCATGATGTCTTATTAGTGAATCGATCTAATCCTGCTTTGAGTGAATTCTTTTTCAACAATGTCAAAACAGTTGTGGGTAATGGTAGAAGGATTCAGTTTTGGGTTGATGGATGGTTTAGCAATCAAAGTCTTAGTGAAGTCTTTCCCAGATTGTGTTTCATTGTCAACTGAGAAATGTGAGTCGCTACTGCATTTTATCCAAAGGAAAGGAGAGGGTCGTGACTACAAGCTAGTTTTTAGAAGGCCTGTTTTCGCTTGGGAAGAGGAGGAAATGTCCAAGTTGAATGATTTGTTGCATAATGCACCTACTATAAATGCTTTGGTTGAAGATTCTTGTTCTTGATTAGCAAACTCTTCTGGGTCTTTTACTGAGGTAGCAGTGTGGAAATTAGTGAAATCATCCAAAGGTCCTACAAAATCAATTACAAAGAGCATTTGGAAGAATATAGCTCCGCCCAAAGTGCAATTCCTGAGTTGGCTAACTTAGAGAAGTAGGATTAAATCCTCAGCTTTTTTGCTTAGGATAGAAGTGTTGAATCTAAATGCCAACCCACTGTGTGTGCTTTGTAAATCTAAAGTGGAGACCATGAATCATGTGCTACTACATTGTCATTCGATATGAAGAGTCTGGTCTGATATTGTTAATTAGTGGAATTTGAGTTGGATCATCCCTGGTTCAGCGGAGGAACTCTTACAATGGTGGACAGGTATAAGACATAAGTTTCAGGTGAATGAAATTTGGAAGGTAGTTCCTTTAGCAATGATGTGGTCTGTGTGGAAACTTAGGAATGAGTGTTTGTTTAAAGAGGCAAATCCAGATTTTGTAGAATTGACTGAGTTGGTGAAGGTTAGAGTTGCTTTATAGGTAAAATCAAATTTGAAAGAGTTGCACTACTCAGTGCATGACATAGTATCTAATCTGAAGCAAGTATGCTATTGTGTATAGTTAGGAGACAACCCAGTTGTTGCTGTAGATATGAAGTGTATTGCCTGGCAGCTGCTGCTACAGAGCTACTGATAGATGCTGAAGTAGGATTGCATTCTGTTCTTGTCTACTACTGCTGCTGCTGCCAGTGTGCTGCGACTGATAATATTCTTGCCTACTGCTGCCAGTTACTACTAATAGCCAGAGTTTGCTGATCTGTTCTGTGCTGCATTGCTGATCTGTTTTGTGCTGCTCTGTCTCTTTGCTGCTCTGTCTTTTTGTTGTATAAACTGTTTTCTGTGTCTATGTATATCAGGATTACATAAAAGAGTGAGGCATTGCTAATCTGTTGTCTTTGTTTTCTTTCTTGGTTATTGCTTTCTTTAGGGGTGCTTAACCTATGATAGGATGGGCTTTTTGGTGCCAACCTAGTTGGGATGATCTAACCCATTGTGATGCTTTGTGCACTCTCCTCTCTTTATTGATGTTTTGATGTTTTTGTGTGTACATCTTGTAACTTTCATCGTCATCAATAAAGTTTCTATTTTTTGCTGATCAAAAAATATATATATGTATATATATATATATATGTGATATTATGTATTGGTATTGGTATGAGTTCTTTTTCTCTTTTATTCGGTAAATAGTTTCTAGGGCTCTTGAGTATGTAGAAAATGTGTGAATTTTTGTAGAGCCTAATTGTGTGTTTTTATAGTCAAATCATTTTCTTCAAGTTTTTAATGAAAAGTTCCTGAAAACAATTCCCTTGTTGGATTTTTAGTAAATTCCAGAAAAATTCACTTAAAATGATTTTCATGTCAAAAGTTTCCTTTATGTGTTTCTTCTAATATTTATTTGAACAAAAATGATTGATAGAATTGTGAGAAAATAAATTTTTCCCAATGATCGATGAATGTGGATGGAGTTGAAGTAATGGCCAATTTATGGAACTACAATTAAATGAAACTAGACTCTTTATTTTATAACTCATAATAAAATCAGTCCCATTGGGGTTCCGAAAGTAATTTAACCAAATTAATTTCCCTACTTGTGCATATTTGGAAATTTGAAAATAATAGTCAATGTGCTCTTTCTTATGGAATATTAAACCCATGCTTTGTTTCCTGTTTGTGTTGGCATTAGATTATCATATATGCTTCTTTAATTTCTCTATTTGATCATGCTTCAGCTACCTTATGCTTGGTATAGTTGTAGTTCTCCTTTGCTCTAACTGAAATTCATAATAAATTTAAGAAGGAGAACTTAATTGGGTGGTAATGGGCTGCGCTTATTTGCAAGGAATTTGAAAGATAATTGTAAAATGTAATTGTTGGTACTGTAATGAGATGTGGTGAGACGTGTTCTTTTAGAGTTGGAATATGTTCCCTTTGGGTGAAATGTTGCACAAATGTGTCTTTGAACCCTAACGTGGTAGGGGAGGTATCATGGCTGCTTAACGGAATTGGGGAGGCATAAGGGTGGCAATGGTAGTCTCACATAGGGAGAGTATCCCTGGAAGCCTGTTCCTTTGGAGCAGGCCATGATGACATTGTTGATATTTGTACGGTAAGCGACAAACTGATAATTATGCAGTAAGCGATGCATCATTCTTTTTTTAACCAAGTGGGAGTCAAAATTGCCTGTGACTAGTATTAGTGGTTGGATAGGTATGACATTTCATGGAGAATCGCCTAGAATAGACTTTTGATTGAACATTATGAGGATTGTAATTTATTAATTACTTGTAAGTATTTAATGTTTTCATTGTATATTATTATACGTTTTACTGCATTACCAATGCATTTGTGTCTAACTTTACTTGTTATTGTTATATTGCTATATTTATATTTGTTTGTATTGTCTGGGGATGTAAATAGTAGAGGTTGGGTGAGGGTTTCGCAGTTCACGGCTTTTGCCCTAGTGTTGAATGCCAGATTTTGAAGAATTCACCGGCACAGAAGATTTCAGAGAAGAGATCGGGAAATTGCGGCAATGTGGACTGGGTTTGAGATTGCTTATCTCTTGCTTACTTTATTTGTAATTTATAAACTTAGGACAACGTTGTTTGTAATTTATAAAACTATGATGTGTAATTATCATTTTTGAATGTGTAACCTTAGAAGAACTCTGTATTTATTTGTTAATATATTTTTTGATGTTCTTGATTTTTGAGATGTCACATGCTTGGTTCTACAAGGCAAACATGTGATCTACAACTACTTGTTTTCTATGAGTTTATGTACACCTTACTTTACCTCAGTTGTAGTGTAAGTAAAGATGAAGGATTATGATAAAAAAGATATGTTAGAGTTTGTGATGCGAAGGACTCTTATACTGTGTTTGGTTGGAGGATTTGAGGAGGGATTTAGAAAGGGAAATAGAAAATGTAGATGAAATGTGAATAAAATATACCTATATTTCATCTAGTTTCACACACCTTTTCCCTTTTCCTTTCCAAATCCCTTCCCAAATCTCCCAATCAAACACAACGTAGAGGATTAATTGTGATATAAGATAGTTAGATCCCAACTCTCACATAACAAGCTTTTACAAAGAAGAGCATATGATTGTAGTAGAGAATAGAAGATCTACTCACATTTTTCCGTATTCTCCAAGCATATAGATTAAGCTTCCATGGCTGAAGGTGAAGAATAAGTCTTGTTTGAAGACCTATCTATGTGGTTTCATTCTTCAAACTTGTACAAATTCAGTCTTGGGTTTTCAAGAGCCTTCTACTCAAATGAAACATTTTTTGGTAATAAATTTACTTACAAAAAAATCAACTCATAGGTAGATGTCAAATATTATTATTTTTTTTGTCCCATTCCTCATCCACATATCTTTTTCTATTATAGATATGCACCATTAGTTGTAGTAGATACTCGCACCTTGTATACCTTAAGTGAAGAATTCAAATGGAAAAAATATTGGTGATCAAAATAAAGACTTGGATTAATAGAAGAATGGATAAAATTGAAAAAACCAACACACCCAAAACTATGCTTATCAAACAAGTCCACTTAATCTATTATTTGGTAATAAATATCTCATTCTCTCGACAAACTAAGCCTTCAGAGTACAAACTGTAAATTGAAGCTAATTTTACCCCAATGTTAATTTACCTCATCCCTAAATAACATAAAAATTGGAATAAGTATGACCATAATAAAGTTCATAAAGTAATAAATATGGATAAACACAATCAAACCCATAAACAAGAATTATGATATCATCAACTAATTCATAAACAATCCTTTGGGAATGCCAAATACTTAGTGGCTTTATTTTAACAGCACTGTCATGCAAACTCGAATGCAAGATCTGCATTCATATAGAGTTACAACTATAAAGAAATCAACAATTAAACAGAGTCATTTGTTGAACATTGATAGGATAGCAATCATTTGGCGGACCAGAATAGGCCCTTTGAGCAAGGATTGCAGCGGCAGATTGCGTTGGATGAAAAGCATCCCAAAAGACATATTGACTCCTGTTTGAACATGGGACTGCAAAGGGTAGACACGTTATCTGTCCCTGGTTCCTCCCTATTCCACAACATGCCCTATCCACAACATTGAACCCTACATGCAAACCAAAATATACATGAATCAACTCTAAAGTTATCATCACATCTCTCTCTCTCTCTCTCTTTCTCTCTTTTCTTTTCCATTTGAAGAAAATCTTTACATTTTAAATTTAAAACTCAAAATCACGAATATTGAAGTACCATACTAGACATAGTAGAAACCATTAGCATTAGGCCCTTGTTAGGAGATTATTATAGCATTTTTTTCCTATCAAATGATTAGTTCATTTAATTTGCTTACTTTTTTGTCGACGTTTTTACTTAGAGAGAGGGGTTTCACAAATGCTTAAACGATATTTAGGCCTTGTACCTACTCTTAGAGGCGGAGTGACAACATTAAGGCAAAGGGTTATGTGTAGACATGGTTTCCTCCTCCATTTGTACCACCACCTATCCCTTAATTCTTTTCTTGTTGATCCCAATTCCAACCTAGACAGTGGTGGTCGTCCCCATACCCTCCATATAACTTAGAGAGAAAAAACACCAAGAAAAACCCAATTATGTTGTTGAGCCATTTAATAAATGATAATTCAGAGAAGGCTAAATGCCATTTGTAGGCCATGTACCCACCCCCAACCCCTTTCCTTTATCGCATTTCATCCCACACTGGTTCGACATAATTTAAATTTGGACAAATTTTGTACGGAAATTTGAACAGAAATGATCTTAAATTGGGACCAAAATTATACAAATGAAGTATTAGGAACCAAAATAAAAAAAAGGGCATATATTATAAGAAGTGATATTAATGTATTTAAGCCAAAGAAGTAGCACAAAAATTGGGATTAGAGATTTAAAGATGATATAATATTATAGTAATAGTACAGGAAACTAATAATAAGGGAGTATTGGGAAATGATATGATAGAAATTAGAGTATATAGCATACCATAGGCAGCATGGTTATTGAGGATGTCACCAAAAATGCCATAAGTATTGCCATAGACAAAAATGGCACCAGGATGGGTGGTGCCATTGTTGAATATAGTGACTAGCGATCTAAGCCCTTCATTGAAGCTACCGAGAATCTGATTTACATAGTCAACACATCTTCCAGGCAATGCCTGCCCTGTGGCCAACTGGTTAGGGATGCAACCAAGTGGTCCAATTCCTGCTATAAAAAATTTCCTTAGTCCCACACTATACAATGCCTGCAACCAACAACATTAACATTCATTATTACAATTTTATTAAAACAACACTACTAGTATGTATTAGCTAATATGTATTAGCTAATAGCTATTAGCTTCTTTATTGATGTTTCGTCACAATGTGTTCGTCTATGCATTTGCTTTCATCAATAAACCTTTGTTTTCACTGATCCAATATAAAAAAAAAAAAAAAAAAAAAAAAAAAAAAAAAAAAAAAAAAAAACTAAAAGCTGTTAGCTAGAGGAATGTAATTGTAATGTAATGGAAACATGAAAATACGAGAAGAGAAGAGAAATAAGAAATAGAAGTAATGAAATAACCTGAATTTGACGAGCATAGTGATTAAGGAGAAGGTTGGCGAAGGCGGAAGGAGTGTAAGTGACGGTGGAAGGGTAGAGGGAAGGCAAGAGGTAGTAGTTAATGTAGTCATTGCTTCCAAAAACCATAACCGCTAAGGAAGTGGACAAGTATTGTGTCAGGTTGGTTCCGCTCATCATTGTTCTTAGTTGGCTCAATGTGGTCTCAAAGTTTATCACCTGCTGGCTTAGGCTATACCGATATCCCTGTGTCCATCCATTCATCCATCAAATTTATTTTTCTTGAAATTACAAAAAAAAAAAAAAAAAAAATGAAGTGAATGTGGGAAAGAAAGGAATAATACATAGTGTTGTCCAGTTTCATCAAGGATGCCAGCAGCTGCAGAAGCATAATTGACTCCCCCAACAATTCTAGGTCCAGTTGTGGTGGGATCTGCATATGGTGGAGGTGCAGGGATACCCAACTTCTCTCCTGCAACACAAAAACTTCATCAATACATAACTCAATTTCTAAAAATATAGAAAAAAAATTATCTTTTATTTTTAATTTAGACTATTGATTTAGATAATTTTAAATGAATAACACTTGCACGATCCAAAATCTTTAATCACAAAACTCTTCGATTCCATATAATAATAATAATATTATTATGTATGCCAATGTAGAAATCAAATGTATCCTAATGATTATAGTGATTTAGGATTTAGGGTTTAGATGGAGGTGCCTTTCTATGGTCCTCCCATTCAGTAATTGGATTGGATGTCCAATTTTGGGGATTGGGTGATTCCTTCTGTCAAACAAATTATTCATGTAAAAAATTAAGTTTATAAGATATTTTAAGCCAAATGATTGGATCATATTTATTTTGAAAAAATGAATCCATTTTCTTTGTAAGTATCAAAATCATACTTTTCATCTATATATATATATATATTTTTAATGTAATCCAACCATATAATCCATGACCAGTCAATTTGATTTCTTACCGGATGAACACAAAAATAAACCATTTAAATCACTATGGTGGCCCGGGATGGGCCCATGTCCCCACTTAACTCTCTAGTCTAATTGCTTGATTAGAGGAAAGCCTTCTCTTTATGTAAGGGGTGGGCATTCCTCGTTTTGGACCGGGCCGGCATTATATCCTAATAATGATTTTGTGTTTGTTCAAGTTCTGTTCGGTCTTAACATTGGATTTTTACATTTATTAAAGTCCAGTCTAAAAAATAATTATAAATTTTAAACTCATTTATTGAGCTACATGTTAACAAAAAATTAAAAATATTTTGTAATTAAATTCAATCACACATTATACTGACATCATTATAAATTGATTTTATATCTAATGTTGGTGCCTTTATTATAGATCATATATGAAGAAAAAAAATTATATATTAATTTTATTTGTATGTTTTTATCATACTTGTTTTTTTTAAAAAATAATAGTGATACATTTGAAAAAAAAATGTTATATCAACAGAACTTACATAATTTTAAGAAGTCATGAAAAGCCAAAAAAATAAAATAAAAATTATATCATCATCAACAATAATATATATCATCACCACAAATGTGAATTTCAATAAAATTAACAAAGTAAAGTCTAGATCCCAATAAAAAAATATATATTTTTTAATATATTATAATTAATTTAATAGCGGGCCGGACTTGGTTGAAAGTATAAATTTCAATCCTAACCCATTAATATATCAACCTAAAAATGTTGGCCCAACCTAACCCTATAAATTAAAACAACAGTTATGAATCCTAGAAAATAGAGCCATGCTGAGCGGGCTAAATGGGCCAATAAGACTGGGCAAATTGGACGGACCAATAGATCGATGCCGACCCCTAAATCACACCATCTATTATTATATTATACATTACAATATGTTGTAGGCCGTTTAGCTTAAATTTTAATTCTTGAGGTTTTATTTTTTGAATTTAAAAATTCATGTGTTGCGACTTTTTTTTTTCATTATATTGGGGATCATCCTTGATTTTAAATTATATTAATTTGACAATTTTTTTTTCCAAAAATGCTGTATTTTTTTTAATTAGGGATTAATTAACTTTATTGAAATCTTTTTAAATGACGCTTTCCTAATTAATATTCAATTACTTTCAAATTTTTTTAATACAGAAAGGAGCTCCATCAGGCAAAACAACTTACCTCAACGTTGAAGTGAAAGGTGGGCATCCTACAACTCGAAAAGGAATCAGACTTTATTTTATTTTTATTTTTTTTAACTTCCCTTTTATTATAAGAAAAATATTATGTTTAATTAGATATTACTTACAAGCATAAAAAAATTATATATTATTTTGTTATTGGTTGCGATGAGCTAGATTAGTCTACAATAGAAAATTTTCAAAACATTTTAAACCGAATATACCATTCTCATACTACAACTCTAAACTTTGCTACCAAGTTTATTTACTCTCTTACAAGTGGTCAATTTTTTTTTTTATTTTTTTTTTGTGAAGAATTACAACTCTGTATTTATAAATAAATAAATAAAAATTCAAATCAATGATAAAATTTATAAATATTAATAATTAAATTTATAAATTTTTTTACTAATCTGTAAATATTTTTCTAAAACTCCACTAGGCTTTTTTCCTTTTTATATATCTAAAACGCAAAATTATATTGAGACTCCTATTTTCAACCCCAATTTAGGCCCAAGGCAATAGCCTCTTTTGTCTACCCACAGGCCAGCCATGTATATATAATATATTTGTGATAGTGGTCCATTTCTTATACTTTTAGTTGACCCATTTTATACATATATATATATATATATATTTGTGATAGTGGTGACAATAATGGTGGTTGCACCGAGGTGCCCCTCTCCACTCTTAAGAACCCGAGTGGTGTGGTGTTGATCATGGTGACTACGACTAAAGTGATGATAACGTGGGGTAATAGTTGCAGTGGTGGTAAATAGAGCAATGGTAGTGGCAACAATAGTGGTAGTCATAATGATAGTGGTGGTTGGCAATGATGCCTGTGATGGTTAATTTTGTAGTTGTAGTAGTTGTGGCAGATGTAATGATAGTAAAAGGACGGTATAAGTGGTATTGTTGCAGTGGCATGGAAATAATCAAGGTGGTGGTAAAGTGGTGACAGAGGGTGGATGCTAGTTGGCTTGTGCAAACAGTCTAATTTGTTTTTGTGTTTTTATTTATTTTAATTATGACTGAAAGTGATTTGGTTATGATATTTGTAATAATCAATATTACAAATGTCATAACTTGCATATGATATACACCGTTAGAAGGATGTGTCTATTAAAATGACCCATATATATAGATATATATATATAGAAATTAAATTTTGACAAGAATTGAGTAGAGGTAGAAGAAGAAAGATTAGAGTTACCAAGAAAATCAACAAATGTTTTTCCATTAGAGAATCGACCGGTAGGGCCTCTGGGGAAATCACAGCCATAAGGATAATAGTTTGATTTAGCAATGGAGTCAAGGAAGTTGTTGTTGCCATCATCCACCAATGAATCCCCAAACACATACATCGACCTAAACTGTAATCCCAACACTCCATATGAGCAATATTGCACCATCAACAACATGTACATCACCACCCTCCTAACAATTATAATATTCCACACCCCTCCATCACCCAAAACCTCCATTGATCACAAATTCTCGTGTAGCTCTCAGCAATGAAAGAAAGAAAAAAGAAAAGAAAAGAAAGTAGTAAGGAAAAAGGATGAGCATGAAAACAAGTGTGTTGTAGCAATTTAAATGTGCAACTCTAGTTGGGAAGAGATACGATATGCATGAGAAACAGCTAGGTGCGTAAGCAAAAGCCTTTGAATACTACTTTCTGCATGCTTTATTTCCTTGTTTTTAGGGTGTTCTTTTCTTTATTTGTTGCATTTTGCACCCTTAATACTTGGTCATTTTTTCACTTTGAACTTTAAAATTTGTTTTATTTTTTTTTCTTACTTTCATATTTCATATTTTAAGTTTTTTTGGTCTAACATTAGACAAAAAATAATACATTGCCATAAAAATATTTTATTATATATAATTCACACTTTTGACACAATCCCAAATCTCAATATAATAATATATATTTCTTTATTTATGTTATGCGACAATTAACGTAAAATTTTTCTAACTAATTCTTAATATAAATTAGTTTTAAAATTAAACTGAGAAAAATTTAAAACATAAAGAGTCAAAAAAAAAAATTAAAGGTCAAAATAAAAGAAAAAAACGAAACATAAATGAGACAAAATAGAATTTATCCTTTTTTATTAACGTCTTATTCATTTCTGGCTTGTTATTTTTCTTACTTTGGATCCTTCCATCGATATTTCTTCTCTTCTCATCACTACTGTGTCTGAATGTTACAAACCAACATGACTCATTACGTAATTTAAGCATTCTTTTTTTTTTTTTTTTTTTTTTTTTGGTTCACAGGGTGGCACTATAAAAAAATTAAGGTTTTAGAGATCAAAATTTAAGGACAAAATTATTTTTTAGGTACCAAATATTTTTGTTGTAAAAAGTGCCGTTATTATATTTTTAGCAACAAAAATTAGATATTAGTGATGAATTATTATCCTTTTGGGACCAAATTTTTTTTTTCAAAAAATAAACCATTTTGAGTCCAAATTATTTTGTCTTTAAAAATCTATTTATTAGTGACATTTTCAAAATTTTGTCGCTAACAGCTTTATTTTGGACTTTTCAGGACGATCTTTTAGCGACTATCCTCATGACGATAGAAATTTATCTCTAAATGCCTTTTACAACAAAATTTTTACTTTTTGAGACCAAAATATTTGGCCTCTAAAACTCTTATTTGTTGTAGTGTGGGGTATTTAACTTTCTTGCGTGTACCTTGACTAATCCCTTCTTTGGTCTGATCAAAGGCAAATCATTCACGTCGAGCCTAAAAAATTTACGAGAAATTTATTTCTCGCGACTTGATCTCAAGAGTTAAACCTTAAATAATTGTCAGAAATACCCACTAACTATTCCAGAAAATCGAAAAGTTGTAATTTAAACATTCAACAATGATAGAGAGTTTTAAATTTTGAGTTCTAAAGAGAGTTCTAATGATGTGGTAAATGTTAAAAAAAAAAAGACAAAGCTAAAACATCACATCAATAAAGTGGAATCCGCCCCTAGAGCTCATTAAAAGCTCATATTTTAGAGTTCTAAAATATTTTTGTTTAAGCATTCTATTCTGTTAAGAAGTAGTACCGTCATATTCCGTTTATGTTAATAGTGATGAGGACGGAACTTGAAAAATAAAAAATGAAAGGGTAAATTATAAACACATCGCTTGAAATTTATTTAAATTATAAATTATTCTCTGTAGTTCTATAAATTATATTATGCCCTTAAGGTTTCTAATTTTGTAACAAATAGGTCATTTTATTAATAAATCATTAAGTTAATTAACAGTTTTTAATAATGTTAAAATTTTATTTCAATTAATAATTCAGATAATTTTATTATTGTATAGGTGAACAGTTAGAAATTTTATTTTTTTAATTAATTTTGTTAAATAAAAAATTTTGACAGAGAGATATTTGTATTATTTTAAATTACAAAGAACAATTCATATTTTAAGCAAATCTTACCCAAAATAAAAATATGAATGGATGGATGGTAAGCAGTAGCGGACAAGAAATGGGATGGAATTGGCAGCAAGATCGGAACGGAAATGATATGTGATAGGCAAATAACACACAGCAGTCTTGGCAGAAAAATAATTTAAAAAAATAATAAATATTACAAATATTAATAATTATAATTATAATTTCTTTTATTAATATTTAATAATTTTTAAAAATCATCACTGATAATTCTCCCAAAATATGATGATGGGCATGGAACTATTACACTTAGTGGTGTCAATTGATGGAATTTCAAAAAAAATTATATTTTTTTATTATTTTTTTCTACAGTATATAAAAAATTCTATCTTAAAGTTTTTTAAGTTTTTATAAATTGATCCAATGGGCCTAGGAATACAAATTAATTTTTGAAATTTTACAAATTATCTTGTTGAGTTAAAAATAAAATCAAACTTTATATAGATTTTTCAATCTTTTAGAAACAACTCAACGATTGACCGTTCTCTCTTCCAACAACATTGATGGCTTGTGTCATTGTATGGTGGTTGATGTAGCAATAATGAAGGGGTGGTGGAGGTGGTTGTGTTGTAGTGGCATAGAAATGGTGAAAGTAGTGGTAGGGTGGTCACAAGTGCTAGATTGAGGGTGATGGTGGTAATGGTAGTGATAGTGGTGATTGCGAGGGTACTAGTAGAATGTTGGTGGTGCTAATGATAACAGTTGTGATGTAGTAATGGCAAAAATGTTTATTTGTGTTCGATTCAATTGTGTTCATGGGTTTGCCAATATTTGGGGTTTCACAAGAACTTAGTCTAGGGTTTTTTGGGTTGTTTTGTATTTGTTTATTTATTTATTTTGTGGGAGGCCCAAAAATGGAATACAAATATTTGCATCATTAGAGACTAGCATATTACCCGTGCTATGCACGGATTGTGTTTACAATTATTTATACATGTGAATTACGATTTTTAAATGTCTTCTTTTTTTCTTTTTTTTTAAATGCCTTCTTTTTTTCCTTTTTTATATTATATTAAAGTTTAATATTTTGATAATAATCATTTGTGTTAGACTTTTCAAAGAATTAAATGTCTTTTTTTTAATTATATTATATTAAAATTTAATATTTTGATAATAATAATATGTGTTGGACTTTTCAAGAAATTTTTTTTATACTTGTTCTTAATGTATTAAAGTGTTATTATGAGGGATAATCATATGTGTTGAAACTTTTCAAGGAATTCATGTGTTGGATTTTAAAGAATTTTTTTTATGCTTGTTCTTATTGCATTAAAGTGTTATTATGAAGGTAAGACTTGGGAGTTGGAGAAGTTAATAAATGCTAAGTTTTTTTTTTTTTTTAAATCAAAAAATCAAAAAATTTAGATTAGGAGATTGAAGCTCCTACAAAACTTGGGGTTAAAAAGCTCATTTTGCTTAATATATAGTATAGATGTGAGAAATGTGAATTGTAAGCAGAAGAGAAAAGGATCAGTCATTGAGTGGGTAAGGCTAACAAAATCAGGAAAAGGTACGGCAACTCTCAAAGTGACTACAGGGTCTCGATTTTCTCCAAAATTCACTAATACTGTGTTTGGTTGGGAGATTTGAAGAGGGATTTGGAAAGGGAAAGGGAAAGGGAAAGGGAAAGGGAAAGGGAAAGGGAAAAGGCGTGTGAAACTAGGTGAAATGTAGATATATTTTATTCACATTTCACATAACTTTTCCCTTTCTCTTTCCAAATCCCTCCTCAAATCTCCCAACCAAACACAATGTAAGTTGTGGAAAATGTGTTTAATTTATAACTGTACATTGGCTACCTAATAGGGTAATGCCACGTATCTCAGGAATCATATGGGAATATTTGTTTCCCTAACCTTGTGTTTGGTTGGGGGAATTTATAAGGAGATTTAAGAAGAGATTTGACAAAAAAAAAAAAAAAAAAAGAAGAAGAAAGGAAAAAGGTGGGTGAAATTAGATGAGATGTCAGTATATTTTATTCATATTTTACTTACTTTTTTTATTTCTCTTTTCAAATTCTTTTTCAAATCCTCCAACTAAATACAATGTGATTGTCAGGCCTTGATGGGTATGTACTCCTCTTGGGCACTTCTTCTCAAACTTGATTAGTCACTACAACAAAAAACACAAACGGCGACTAAAAAAAAAAAATTCGTCGCTGAAAGTGCATGAAATGGCGACTAAAATGGAATTAGTCGCCGAAAAGCAAGGTTTTAGCGACTAAAAGAGTATAGTCGCCGAAAAGCAGGGTTTTAGCGACTAAAATGAAGTTTAGTCGCCGAATATAGGGTTTTTAGCGACTAAACTTTGTTTCGTAGCCAAAAGTCACAGTTTTTGGCGACTAAAATACTTTAGTAGCGAAAAGTTACAGTTTTGGCGACAAAAAACAGGTTTAGTCACTGATTATAGCAGTTTTGGCGACTAAAAACAATTTAGTCGCTGAAAGTGGGGGTTTTGTCGACGAAAATCCATTTTAGTCGCCCAAAGTAGTGGTTTTGGCGACGAAATTTCTGGATAGTCGCCAAAAGTGCTGATTTTTAATTGAGAACTTGTTTTTTAGCGACAAATAAATAATTAGTAGCCCAAAATAATACAATTAGCGACTAAAAAATGGATTTAGTCGCCAAAAGTCGCCTAATTTTTTTTTAGCAAATAATTTATTTTTTGACAAAAATTATATTGAATTAAAAAAATTATATTTATAAATATTATTTTGTATTAATTGCGGTTAATATAGTATATAAATAATATATATTGCATATATGATCATGTGATGATATACTGGCAGAGTGGAGGGAGTGTTGTGCAAAGGGTTTGGCGTGTGCAAAGGGTTTGGCGCAAGTTCGAAACCTGTTGGCAGCAGCGGAGGCAAAAAAAAAAAATTTCTGAAAACACTTTCAGCGACTAAAGTGAATGGTCGCCGAAGGTATAAATAATAAAATAAAAAATGAACTATTGGCGACTAACAGTTTAGTCGGCAAAGGTATAATTTCCAATAAAGAAATTGACTATTGGCGACGAAATCTTTAGTCGCTGAAGACATACATATTGGCGACAAACAGTATTTTAGTCGCCAAAGGAATTCGCGACCATTTATTGGCGACAACACGGGCGACTAAACTTTTTAGTCGGGAAAAGTGAAATTTTGACATTTGGCGACTAAAATAGGACCTTTGGCGACTAAAAATTTAGTCGCCAAAGATGTTTTTTCTTGGAGTGAGTCTATCAAAT